AGAACTGCGGTAAAGTTAGGCAAGATCTGAGTTTCCCGCACTCAAAAGATACAGAAAGGTTCCCCTCTTCCCAGCCCCTTCCCCCATGACTAGTCCATCTTCAGCCAGTTGGAACTCGCCCTTTCATCTTTTCTTCGGGGCTCAAACGAATTTGGCTACCTCCGTTCTGCCGCCGACAGACGTCTGCCTCTTCCCCACCTCGCCTGGCTTGGCTCGGTTCCCCACTTGGCAGGACAGACCCAACAAGCACAAACAGAAGAGACTGCAGGTGCTCTGGCACGGCTCTGTACCCCTGGTCCGGCCCTGCTTGGCAAAAAAACACCTTTGAGCTGATGGCTTTGACTCTCTTTTAGCCCCAGCCTGAAAGGAGAGGGGCTGCTTTGGCCCTGGTTTTATGGAAAAACATCGGCAGTCCTCCATGCACCAAGCTAGATACGAGGAAGAGAGTTGGGGAACATGGGTTTTGGAGTTGGGTTGGATGCTGTTGATTCGTGATGTCTCACGAAGCCTTGGCTTCATTGGGATCTTCCAAGTACCGTATTTTTCAGACTATAAGATGCACCAGTGTATAAGACGCACCAAGATTTCAAAGAATGTTTTTGTCCTCCCTGGCCCCCAGGAGCACTCTACACGCGTCAGCAGGGCTGGGGGAAGGCAAAAATGCCCCCGTTTTTGCAAAAAACAGGTTATTTTTGCAAAAACGGGTGCATTTTTGTCTCCTCCAGCCCTGCTGAAGTCTGCAGAGTGCTGCTGGGGGCTGGGGCAAGGCAAAAATACCTCCGTTTTTGTGAAAAATGACCCATTTTTCTCAAAAATGGGATGCTGGGGTGGGGCTTGGGGAGGCCAAAAATGGCTGCATTCAGTTTATAAGATGCATCAACATTTCCACCCTCTTTTAGGTGGGTGGGAAGATGTGTCTTATACGCTGAAAAATATGGTATTTCTTTATGATTAAATCTCTTGTTTAGCATCACGTAGAACAGAGGTGTCAAACTCAAGGCCCAGGGGCCAAATCCGGCCCACAGAGTGTTTAGATCTGACCCGCGGGGCTGCCCTGGAAATAGTGAAGGACCAGCCTACGGTGCGTCTGTCAGCAAAAACGGAGCTTGGGAGGACCACAGGTTCCACTTTTGCTGGCATCGCGGCTGAAAAAAGAGCTTGGGTCCATTTTTGCTGGAAGAGCACTCAGGCCACCCCAGGTGCCCCCAACATGAGTGCTGTCAAGCTGGCCACGCCCAATCCTGATGCAGCTCACAACGAAATAGCCGTGACGGAGAACAAGTATCCCCCCCCCCCACAGGAGTGGTATTCACTTACCCTTCCTACCGTTTTGCAAACGTGAGCANGCATAATCCACCATATTTTTATCCAAAATGCTTTAACCTTTTTACAAGTCCATTTTCTTTTTTTGTTTTTTGTTTAAAAAAAGTAGGAGGACTTAATTTGCTTCCCTGTCGGGCGGCTGCTGTTCCATAGGCATTCTTTTTTTTTTTTTTTTAAACCAGCTTAGTTGTTATTTACCTTTCAAACAATCAAGACCATTACCATTAGGTCTCGGAGTAAAATTGGAAAAACCCAACTCCAGGCAGCACGACGACTCCTTTGGGGCAGTTTTATTCGGGCCTTTTTTTGCATCTTGATGGAAGCCTAATTGCGATTTTGGCACCGTGCTCTCACAAAACGGCTAATTGTTTAGGCAAATAGATTAATTTAAATATGCATTCCCTAATAAAAACACACGCAACTCCCCGCTACCCCCCCCCCCCAAAAAAATGGCTTCTACGATTGTGCGCTCGCTCCCCTGACGAGGCGCATAAATATTTAGAGGCAGGGCCATTAAATAGCTCCTGAGATTGCTGGCGCTATTTCGCCACGCGGAAATGCTTCGCGGGCAGGGAAATAATCTTTACCAAAGTGCACATAAATAATCCTCTAAATTTGCTGGGATGCCATCTCATTATCCTTTTCCTTGGCTTTGCCATCTTTCAATGGAGGGAAGAAGCATTTGTATGCCAGCGGGGGTGCCAATCCAGCACTCCCTGATGTGGCTTTAATCTAACTGACAAGGAACTCTTTGACCTCTCTGTATTTAGCCAGGCGGGAGACTTTATGGTCTGGCTTGTTTAACCCATCCTGCGTTTCAGGTGTGAACCCAGGAGCTGTGTTCTGTCCACCTGCGTCGTGTCGTCTGAGTTAGTTTATTTAAAAGCCCTGGCTTGATACAGGTAGACCACCTCAACGTCCGACCACCATGGAGTCCAAACTTCTGTTGTTAAGTGAGGTTTGTCCCACTTTATGATCTTTAACAGATTCACAGATGACCTTGTAGGTCATCTAGTCCAATCACCTGCCAAGCAGGAGACCCTACACCAGGCAGTCCAGTCTCTTCTTGAAAGCCTCCAGNGTTCCGTGCGCCTTCAGTGTTTAGTCATGCCGGCCACATGACCACGGAGATGTCTTTGGACAGCGCTGGCTCTTCAGCTTAGAAACAGAGATGTGCACCGCCCCCTAGAGTCGGGAACAACTAGCACATAGGTGTGAATGGAACCTTTACCCTTACCTTAGATTTATTATCCAACATGTCTGCTTTTCTGGGGTTATAGAGGCAGTTCTCAGGTTACAAACTGATGGAACAGCATGGCAGCCACAACCAGAAGGACACTCCACATATACCTTTCTCAAGGCTATATCCTAGGTTACCTGCAACAGCCGAAGGGGCGTGATCTCTACAGCCCACGAATTAGAAAATGTGATTTATAACACACCGTGGAGGGGAGGGGGGACAAGTGCCATAATTGGGCTATAAATTACGTGGGGTCAGAACTGGCTTCACTTGGGTGCGTGCAGACATGTTGCTCCCAATAAATAACTGGATTTCCTTTGAAGCTTGGCTGGAGGCTCATGATTTAATTAGGGCATCCCTTGGAATTCTGACATTCGTTTTCCAAATCTTTGCATCGGGGCTGCAAAACAAACAAACATTTACAAATTCTTTACCCCTGCGCCCATTTGCCCGTCCCACCCCGCCTTTCTGCCCAAGGCGAACGGTTCCCAGTGACCAACTTTTACCCTGGCGCAGAGGTGGCATTTATAGGGCTAATGCATCGGCCAAGTGCCGGAGAAAATCTCAGCCATGAATAATTGAGCCCCCTCTGCTGTAGCCCAACAAAGTCCCGTTCGCTCAGCCTTATTAAAAGAGCAAGCGAGGGGAGAGGGGGGCGAGACAGCAGAAGGCCGTCGAGGGATTTGTAACATGGGAAGATTCGCCCGTGAAATGGATGCCGTTGTGTTGTGGTGTTCTCCCCACCCCCACCGCCCCTTCTCTTATCTCCGGGGTCTTTAACTCAACGTCACGGCGAAGGCCGAGTTAAGGCATTTGGGGATACGTTGAATTATTCAGTGTAAAGCAGAACGGCGGGGGTGGGAGGGGATCGGAGTCCAGAAATTTTGATTTTTGAGAGCTTGGAAGTTGTTGGGTTTCTGAAGGTTGGCCTCTGGTATCTGTTGTCCCTGGCANCTGTCAATCGGCTCGTCACAAGAGTCTATCACGACAGAAACCCAATATTTTTACTGTTGCCTTTGTTATATTTGTGTTTTTTTATTTGTGCTGATGTATGTATGTATGTATGTATGTATGTATGTATGTATGTATGTATGTATGTATATATATATTGCACTCTGAAGGCCTCCCAAACCCTCTGCACGCCTCATTTTTTGCAAAAAAAGGGCGTGCAGAGCTTTGGGAGGCTTCTAGAGTGCTGTGGGGGGGGGAGGGGGGGGCAAAAACGAGCAAAAAATGGCCCATTTTTTTGCAAAAAAAATGGCATGCAGAGTTTTGGGAGGCTTGTAGAATGCTCTTGGGGGCTGGGGGGGCACAAAAATGGCCCATTTTTTGCTCTCTTTTTGCCCTCCCCAGCCGCCAGGAGCATTTTGCAAACACTCCACATGTCCATTTTTGCTAAGGGGTGGTGTTTCAGGAGGCCAAAAATGCTGTATTCAGTATATAAGCCCAGATTTTCACCCTCTTTGTTTTTTGAAGGAAAAAGGTGCGTCTTATACTCCGAAAAATAGTCAGTTTAAAAATTGCATCCAACAAGTTTCTGTGCCTAAACAGGGCACTTTTTTTTTCTTTTTGGGTAGAACTGGAACACTTGCAAACTTCCAAAATTTGCCAAATAGTCCTTGACTTTCTAGCAGCTCATTTAGTGACTGAAATTACAACAGCACTGAAAAAAGTGACCGTTTTTCAGACTTACGACCGTTGAAGCATTCGCCACAGTCGCATGATCAAAAGTCAGAGGCTGGGCAACTGACTTGTATTTGTGGCGGTTGCCGCGTCCCAGGGCCACATGGATCTTCTTTTGTGACCTTTTGACGAGCAAAGTCTTTGGGGAAACCCAACTCACTTAACAACCGTGCTGCTAACTTAACCACTTCAGGGATTCCCTTAACAACGGTGGCAAGAAAGGTCATAAAACGGGGCAAAATCCAAAGTCTCACCTAGCAACAGAAACTTTGGGCCGAACTCAATGACCTTTCATGACCCCATCATCCCTCGCGGGGTGGAATCAGGGCAACTGAATGGAGCTGAATGTTTACTGGCCAGATGCTCTTCCCTGTCGCCAATGCGGAGTTTTNTGGAGTGAGCTCCTGTTATTTGTCCCAGCTTCTGCCAACCTAGCAGTTCGAAAGCACATAAAAATGCAAGTAGAAAAATAGGGGCCACCTTGGGTGGGAAGGGAAGAGCGTTCCGCAAGCCTTCGGCGTTGAATCCTGCCGGCCACATGACCACGGAGACGTCTTCGGACGGCGCTGGCTCCTCGGCTTTGAAACGGAGATGAGCACCACCCCCTAGAGTCAGGAACGACTAGGGCATATGTGTGAGGGGAACCTTTAGCTTTACCTTAAGCTAACATTGGGAAATAATAACCAGCATTATATCCTACAGGGAGAGATAGGTTGATATCTATTTTCACAATTGTTCTCTTTTTGGCATGCAGGGTCAGTTAAAGTGTGGAGCCTGTTGGTCGGTTCTGAGCCAATCCACCGATACCAACACAACCAGAAGATTCAAGCCATGGCCCTTTCGACTGAGGGAGCCACCATAGCGACCGCATCCGGGTTCCAGGTCAAAGTAGAAAGTGCCAACGACAAAGGATACTGGGGAGCCCTGGCTGAGTTTGAGATTCAGAAATGGGTGAGTCTCTTTGTTATCCACAGGAAAAGCCCTTTAAATGTGTCAGATTACATCACCTTTGACCCATGACTGAAGATCAATGCACTGTGCATTGGATGATGGAGCTGTTGTGGCCCGCCAGTAGAGCTGGCAGCAGATTCGGACAGTGAGGCAGTTGGGGAGGAACCTGGGCCAGTCCTGGAGTCTGGGGGAGGCTCTGATGAGGACTGTGTGTCGGAAGCAGAGAGGGGGCCAGGGCCGTATGCCAGTTCAGAGTCAGGCATCAGTGAGGCAGAGGAACAGCTGGAGCCTGTTCCCAGTGTGAGCATGTGCAGAGCTGCCAGGAGAAGGGAACAGCTAAAGAACAGGGGCCGACTTGGGAGTAAGGCTATAGGTGGACGGTGAATGGCCCCTCCCAGAGGACATAAAAGAGGAGCGAAAGGGGAGTGGAGTTTGCAGGAGACCATTAGTTTGCTTCGTTGGCTCATGACTCTTCGAGACTCCTTGCCAAGTTTTGCAGATATCGGCCTGTCAGCTCTCCAAGCCAGATAAGGTCTGTGACCGTAAATCCTCCCTCGAAAGACTTTGCTGGATGGGAATGAGCAGAATTCGCAGTAATTTAATAAAAGAGGGACTAGGAGTTTGCTTCATGCTTTTGGGCAGCCTCGGTCAGAACAGGAGCGGGGACGCAGCTCAAAATGAAAAAGAAAGAAAGGATCAGTAGAAGAACTGTTGATGGGCAAAGTTATTTGAGGCTCAACCCTCTCTTCAATCGATTAACTTTTTGCAGGTTAGCTTGCTCCGTCTTATGCCCCAAACTTCAGGCTGCCCAGCTGCCGTAGTAGCGGCGGAGGACGCCATCTACTTCTTGAAAGAAGGAGGGCCAGCCAAAGTCCTGCATTGTGTCTACAGCCAGCCGGTCACATGCCTGGACGTCTCGGCCAAGGAGGCGGCATTCGGAGTCAGGGGCCAAGGCTGGCTGATCAACGAGACCAACAAGGTACATCAGGTCTTTAATGCCATGAAACGTTTGATCTTGGCTTCTTTGTGGTGCATATGGATTGATTAGCACTTAGCATTTAGACTTATATACCACTTCATGGTGCTTTTACAGTCCTCTCTAAGGGGTTTACAGAGTCAGCCCATTGCCCCCAACCATCTGGGTCCTCCTTTTACCCATCTCGAAAGGACGGAAGGCTGAGTCAACTGGAAGGAAGGAAGGAAGGAAGGAAGGAAGGAAGGAAGGAAGGAAAGGAAGGAAGGAAGGACAATAGCAATAGCACTTAGACTTATATACCACTTCATGGTGCTTCCCTGCCATCTCTAAGTGATTTACAGAGTCAGCCTCTTGCCCCCAACAATCTGGGTCCTCCTTTTACCCACCTCGGAAGTACGGAAGGCTGAGTCAACTGGAAGGAAGGAAGGAAGGAAGGAAGGAAGGAAAGGAAGGAAGGAAGGACAATAGCAATAGCACTTAGACTTATATACCACTTCATGGTGCTTCCCTGCC